AAGAAATTCCATTTCAGCTTTTTGTCTCCTTTTGCATGCATTGCATGATAATTTCCTTTCTCACATGATATGGCTGAGCATCACAGGCAGCTGAATGTTGTCACCAAGCTATTTGGAAACCATAAAGAAGAGTTTTTGTGTTTTGAGAAACAGTGATCGATCTTACTTGATAGTTACTTTCTCTTCTTTTTTTCCATCTTTTTAGCTGCTTCACTTGATAAAGCAAGTCCATTGGCTGAGGGATACTTACGGCACCGTTCTGTTCCATCATGCACCAATTCTACCGTCTCAGTTGTTAAGATGACACCTCTTTCTTTTCTACCTGGGGCAAAAATAACCAAATATCTTGGGATAATCAACATGTTTTTTATACGAGAAACCACTTCTTTGCGTGAGGTGAGCTGTATATCAGGGATTAGCACACTTTGTTAATCATAATAATCACAAGTAAATACCTGAACAGCTTTGAGTTGAGGTATGGCACAGCGAGGGAATAGAGTTTTTGTCACTTGAGAGAGGTGCTGAGTGGGGAGTAAGTCACATTGCACTGCTCTTGTCATAGAGCATACAGAGCTGCTTTGTGTTTAGCAATGTTAGGAAGGGGTTACTTAAACATTGCCATTGTTGTTGAATTTGGATATAACACTAAACCAGTGAGTTCTTAAACAGAACTATTTGGAAAAAAATAGGTCTTTGACCAGCAGTGGTAGTTGGGATCATTTGAACCCAAACCCGAGATTAATTTAAGGGGTGGGGGGGGAGAAAATCCATTCGTTGGCTTCTAAATCTCATTTAGGAAGCTCAATGATGAACTTCCACAGTGTATTTGGATTTTAGAATTCTTTGGTTAATACCAGGTTTCCCATATCATATATAATATTTATGCTGATTTTTAATATAACATTCTCTGCATTCTCAGTAACATAGCTCTGTGTAGTGAGCATCTAAAAAGCATGCCGTAGAGTATATAACCACACAAGCAGCTTGGAGGGTGTAGCTAGCGATACTCAAACAATGATCTCCAGTCTGGATCTGGACAACAGATACTCCTCTGAGAATGCAAAAACGCAAGACGCGTTCCTTATCGTTTTTCTGTCCTTTTGGGAAGTAGGTGCATCCTTCTGCTACAATTTCCAGCCACAGAAATAGAATGTACCTCTTGCCTGGTTTGTCAGTGCTGAAGAGTATGCTGTTTCTTGCTAATTACACATTGATAAAACTGTGTAGCAGATGTTAATAAAAATGATCAGCTTTCATAAAAATGAGTTGCGAGCTCTTCAGAGGAACTTTGGTCAGACAAACATCTTGTTTGGATCTTGCAAGTTACGGCCCCTTTTAACTTGAGAAATCTATGCAAAGGACAGCATTTGAAAAGGACGTATATGGTATGACGAGGGAAATGGTTACATGACGTTTCTGTACTAACTGCAGCTTCTGTAGATACAGATTAAATAGCTGATAAGCAAGCTTTGGTAACTGCGATAGCCAATCTCAGCGGAGGTAGGTTGCTCTAGTATTTGATTCAACTCCTCCATAAAGTTGGGATGGTTGTACAGTTTCTGTGCTGCTGTCAGTCTGCAATTTCCAGCACCCAGGGCAGCTGATTTAAATCTGTTTCAGCTGCACAGGCTGATTCACAAACCAGTTTTAATACTAGTTGCACAGTATTGCTCTGAGGCTGTAACAGGGTCAAAACAGTGGTCATTATATCCAACTTGAGCGATGTGTTTCAGATTCTACAGAAAAATAATTAGCAGCGTTTATGTTTGTATTGCTTTATATTTTTGCTTATGGTAGTTTACAGAATATTGAGGCCCTATGAATGCTTTCATAAGCTGAAGTATATACCAGGCACTGTGCTTCAAAAATTAATGATAATTTTAAGTCCAATTTATCCATTGCTTTTAGGTTTTGCCATTTACAGGTGGATATTTATAATCTTTTGTTAACTGCTGTCATCAACTTTTGTATTAGGTTTATAATACTACAGTTTTTTTTTTTCCCCCATCAGTTGCTGTAACTATTAAAACACTTGGACAAAATCAAAATTTCATGAGGAATGACAAACTTGTATTGAAATTTTGATTTCTGGCTGCAGTTGACTTCATTCATGCTTTATGCTTGGATTGGTGGAATTATACTTGCCTTTTGTTTGTTAATTTTCCTCCAAGATACGTTTCCTAATGTCTTTATGAGTCTGTTCAGGGCAGATCATGCTTTTTCCAGCAGATATGAGGGCAGTCCGTATTTGTTGAAGTTCGGCTTAGTTAGCCACCTCTTCTACCTACCTCTTTCATTTTTTCCAGTGGCATACACACGTGGGAAGTCTAGTGGTCTTGCCTTTCACTTTCATTTTGAAATTTTGCAGATATTTTTAACCAATAGTGAGCTCTGTTTCATCAGTTTGTTTCCTTAGTTTTTTCTGTGGGTTTTTATTTTTTTTGGTTGGTTGCCTGGTTTTTGTGTGTTGGGTTTCCCCCCGCCAATGTAGTCGCTCATGTTCTTTCATAAGTATTGTCTAGAAAATAAACATACTTCATTGTTTTCCTTCTCCGTTCACTGCAATTTAAATTACTCAGCTTGGCACCAAAGAAGTAAAAATCCCCCACAAGCACCATCAAGTCAAAAAAACTTCACTAAGCAGGATGGCCAGAAATTCTTTTGGGCTTCAAGGGAAAAAAAAAACTGGAATAGCTTGCTTGTCAAGTCTCTGCTCTGTCCCTTGCTTACTTTGTATTTTGAGGGATCATTTCTTTAGTGAATGTTGAGAACGAATGACAGTCATTAGCATACATGAAGTTGCAGTGACCAAAAGTAATGGCCACTCCTTACCAGTAATTTCCAAGAAGTCTAAATCTCTCGTAATCCTCAGTAAGAAAATATTCTTTATCTGCGTCCCGGTTTTCAAAAAAATGGGTAGTATCCTTCCTGATGAAAGAAAAACTCATTGTTCAGCTGTCAGTGGAATATTACATGTTCCTGCAGAGGTGTAGGAATGTCTGAAAAGTATGAGTATATGTAATACACTGACTACAAAGAATACCAGTTACAAATGAATAACCTACTTCTGATTCTTTTCCTCAAACAGTAAGTTCCATTGGTCTGATTTTTTAACTGTGACCCATTAAACAATGAATAGCTTTTAAGTTCTGTACAATATACCATTTAGGATTCACTGAAATATTCAGCTGATAAAAGTGTAATAAAAGCATTCAGCATCTTGTAGCAGTGCCTAACGTAAAATGTTCTTGGTTTGGTTTTTTTCTCCATTTTAGGAAGGTGGTGTCAGTGGTTTTCTCCATGCTTTTATTGCTGAAGTGTTTGCAATGGTGAGAGCTCATGTTGCAGCTTTAGGGGGCAATGCCGTTGTCTCATACATAATGAAGCAGTGTGTTTTTATGGAGAATCCAAACAAAAATCAGGTAAATTATTATATGGAATAACAATGCTATTGTGGCTGGTATGACACAAATATAAATTTTATGTATTTAAAAAACAAGAATGCTGTTAGAGCTATGTCTGCATAACACTTCTGGATCTCTCATCATAATGGCCTGTTTAAAGAAGCCAAGAGCATTCTTGAACACCTCAGCACGAAATTACAAATGTGCTTCATAAATACCCAAATGGGTAAAAGTACTAAGTTCACTAGAATGAATTAAATTGCAGGAAACAGTAGAATAGTGGTTCTGCACTTACTTAGCTTTTCTGATGTTGCAATGTTAGGATTTTCATCCTTTTTATGTGAAGTTGCTGATACAAAATGCTCCGTTTTGGACATAAAGGGACAAAACTTTATTAATAAAGGCGACAACTGAATATGGTTGTTTTGGTACATGAAATATGTTCAACACAGTAGTGAAAGGAAGTACAGCTACCCAGATACTTCATTTGTGGTGGTCTCATAAGAATCTGTCTACGTGTTCGATAGCACACAGGTGAGTAGATATAAAAGGAAATATGGCAGGGATTGCCTCACTAATAAATTCTAATAATTTGTCCTTCTCTGAGCTCTGTCGACTTTTCTGTTATCTGTGTAGTTACATCTAGCAGATATCAGTAAACATAAAATAGATAATTCTTCAATGTTTGGTAATTGCGTATCGTCCTTTTTTTTTCCAGGCCCAGTGTTTAATCAATGTAAGTGGCGATGCAGTCATCTTTGTACGTGAATCTGAGTTAGAAATGTTACCAGTACAACCTTCTACGGTTGTTTCTCAACCTACAAGTTCTGGAGGAGATGTCACGACGTGAAGACAGAAAAAGTGAAATAGTCTCTGCCAAATATAAAAATTGTTTAAAATGTGGGAATGTTTAGGTTTGCATCTTCAAAATCAGTATCTCCCCATAACGTTAACAGCCCAAATCCAAGACAACCACTATACTTTGTCCTTTATGTAATGGTCAGGGCAGCATATTGGCAGGTATGCTTTGATTCTTTTGTTACAATTACAGGCCCCTGTGAAACAGAGACAGAAGATGAAGCACTGATATGAAAGCATGGATTAAAATAGTAGGCATCACATGGAACTGTGAAAGTAAACAAAAACTCTGTTGCATTTCCCAGCTGTTTAACAGGACCATGACAAGTTATAATTCAGAACCATCTCTGAGTTTGCATATTGTATTAGCTGATTCTCCGCTCAGTTTAAAAAAAATAAAAGCGGGGTTGAGGTGGGTGGGAGATAACTGAGAAGCCTGTATTAGCAACCGTTGCCCGAGGAGCGAGAGATTTGTGCGCAGGCTAATAAAATGTGGGCTGAAGTCTGAACTTGCCTTAAAACATAGAGTGTGAAGAAGAAGCAGCAGCACCAAGAAGTCGCAGTTTGAATTTCTGCACACTAAAAATATTTTTCAACTGTTTGTGAACTGCTGATTTTTTTTAAGTTATTACTATACAGCGTATGTTTTGGGTGGGGTTTTTTGTTGTTTGTTTTTGTTTTTTAAGAAGTGCCAGACCATGATGCTGTGTTCTAGTCATCCCTATGGTTAAAAGAAGAAAAAAGAACAAAAAGTTCCAAAGTGTGTTAGGTGCTATTATAAGACATTCACTTCAATATTGACAAAACAGATCTGTTTTTATATAAGATTCTGTGAAAGAATTGTCCTGAGGCTCATTTTCTTAAGGCATGATCTCTTGCAAGGATGACGTAAGCAGTCCTCCGACAGTCAAGTTATGCAGAGCTATACTCCCGCCTGCTTTCCGTTTAACACATTGGAAATGGCTGGCTAATTGGAGATTGAGGTATGCTTGTGATGCTGGTTTCTGTGAGTTGGGTTGTTGGTACAGTAGCTGGGAAATGAGGTTACTGCAAAGAAAGGAAATTTGCCATTTCCAGTAAATGTCTGAAAGGCAGCGATATTTTAATGTAGAAAATGCAAACTTTGATCTGAAGATGCATTCTTACTTAATTCTGACAATACCATACATGGAACTTGAACAAACATGTAAACTTGAATGTAAATATTCTGCTTAGTGTTGAAATTAAGCATTGGCATGATTATTTGTTAAAACTAATTATTTCATTGTAAATGAGCGTGAAAATCATTCTTGCACAATAAATTTCTGTATAAAATTTATTGCCTTTTTATATGTGTAATAGTTAAATGTGTACGCTGGATACATATTAAAGATGTCCCACCCCCATTCTCCTCAGAGGAACATTTTTGGTATAGAATGTTACAACCTGATTATTTAAAATTTGGAGAGTTAATTATCTATATTTAAAGTGTTTGAATTAGGTGCTTACCAGAACACTTTACTCATAGTTAATTGTCTTTCTAAATTCTGTAGCTGCTGCAACCAAAGCTGCCATAAATTAAGTCGCCTGTAAATAGTTGCAGCTCTCTTGATTATTTTGCAAGGCAAATCTTGTTCCCTTTGAAGCTGGTGGCAGACTATTAATAACTTCAGAAGGTCTTGGATCTGGCACAAGAAGTAAGTTGTTTTCAGCGTAAGTATTCAGCATGGAAATATTCTCTGAAGTAGCACATTAAAGTAGCTGTTCCTGATTGTTTTGTTTTGGGTTTTTTTGGTAGCTTCTATGGAAAGTATTAATGCCATCTTTTCATTCCTCGCTGTTTAAAAGGTCACAATTTCTTCTAGTGTGTTTCATTAGATGTAGAGGAAGAGCTTTCTCATCTAGAAATTGTAATTATTCTCTAATTATTATTCAAAAAATGTCAAATGTTTTTTAACTGTTACTAATTGGGATTTAGCTTTATTTAATTGGTCCAGCTGGATAAATTTAACCTGTAGGAAGCTGTACGCTTAAATTGCTTTGACTGTTATTTTTTCCAGTGGGGAAAAAAGGGATAAGTGTGTGCAAATCCATTGTCATTTGGAACATTATACCCCATATGTTTCTCAGAGGTAAAAAAGGATCCTATAAACATAAGAAAAACTTAAGGGAATTATTAGAGTATGTAAGGAAAGGAAAACTAGAACAAGTTAAAAATTCAATCGTTGGTGCACAAAACACCTTCGAGGAGCTGTCTGCCTACAACTTAAGTTGTTCTGTGTTCCTTGCTGGGTTCAGAATGGCTGAAAATCATACAAAGGTACCTCGTCAGTTAATGACTTGTACCCCTTTGTCTGTTACTATGTCATGACTAGTTTTGGTTGTGGGAGAATCATTGAAGGTTCTGCTGAAATGGGCGCAGTTAATGCAAGATACCCTACTCTTTCCTGGAATGGGACTTGGAAATGTGGGGAGACAAACAGTATCATTTGAGACTGTTTGTGGCTCAAACGTACGTTGCTTTGTCAGGAATTTATCTCTACGCTGAGAATAGCTGGCTGGGGGTAGGAGCTAACGCAACTTGCTCGTAGCGGTTTTGGCTGGGATAGAGTTAATTTTCTTCAGAGCAGTATGGTGCTGTGTTTTGGATTTGTGACCAAAACAACGTTAACACGGGGACATTTTATTTATTGCTGAACAGGTCTTGCACAGTGTCAAGGCTTTGTTTATCACGCTGCCCCCTCCCCAGTGAGTATGTTGAGGGTGGGCAAGAGGCAGGGGGGGAACGCAGCCGGGACAGCTGACCCAGGCTGACCACAGGCGTACCCCGTACCATACAACGCCATGCTCAGCAGTAATCCTAGGGGGTTGTTTGCCAGGGCTTGTGGTTGCTCGGGGACTGGCATTGGTCAACTGGTGGTGAGCAATTGCTCTTTGCATCACTTGTTTTTCTTTGTTCTGTCTTTTTTTCTCTTCTTAAACTGTCTAGCTCAACCCATGAATTTTCTCACTTTCACCCTTCTGATTCTCTTCCCCATCCCGCTGGGAGGCAAGGCGTGAGCGACCAGCTGCGTGGTGTCTGGCTGCCTACCGGGGTTAACCCACAGCGTTGCTGCTTTCTCTTGACTTGAGGAATCCAAATGACAGGGGGTAGAGTGAAAGCAGCCCTGCTCCTATCTGCAGCCCTCAGAAGAACCACTAAGCTTGGGTTTAAAACCTTCACATCAATATTGTGAAGAAATTGGGTGGTGTCGCACTTCGTTGGAAAGGAGAGGTAGCATCTGCTGTAAAAGACCGCTTCTCCAGGCACTACTTTACTTGCAGCAGTGAAGCTAGGTCTGTGTCAGGCCTTCAGGTGACGGGGCAGTGATCAGGGCCTGAACAACTGTCACCTTCTCCAGAGAACAGCAGCAGACACAGAGCGAGCATCTGCAGGTGATGGTGCTGCTTGCTGACCCTATAACCGTCACTATTTTAAGAGATGCATAGTGCTTGCTAAATCGACCAACTCAAGCTTGAAGGTAGGCAGGAATTTAACTTGGAGGGAGACGTTGGCTTCATGTTGGAGTCCCAGTTTTAGGAATGTATCTTCTGGAATAACCCCACTTTTTTTTTTTTTCCTTTTTTCAGCTGGGAGCTTGCTTTCAGAGCTGGTTGAAAAGTCCTCGGTGTTTTTTCCTTGTTAACCTTCTAGTTTGTGAAGGTACTAAGTGAGAGCAAATGTCCTCTGGTCTGAAGATAATTATGGCTCTTTCTCCACCTCCCACCCCCCCCAAGTGGAATCAAATGTTTTTTCTTGGTGTTTTGTTGAAATTAGAATTTCCTTGGAAATGAAACCTGAGGGGCTGGTTCACTTTTGGCAGACTGAAAGACAGCCCTGCACCTATCTTTCTAGCAACTTGCTGAGGAGCAGATATGTGAAAATAGAAGCAAGACAGATGCGGGGAATTACAAACAGTTGCGATGAGTGAGATGTCAGTGCTTGTGAAGTTTTTGGAGAGCTCTCAGTTCCCTTTCGGTGTTCAGATAAGGATAGACGGAAGCTTTGATGACTGATCTGAGTAACGAGAGTTTTCTTGGCAAGCATGTTACGAACAACTGTTCTGCCACAGCATCTGCGGATCTTCTGTTGAGCCTTGGGCTGCGTGGCAAGAAAAGTTTTCTTGCCATCCAGTATTTGTAGTTTTGGTAGATAGGAGAAAGCTCCGTTTTGACTACTCTGCAAAGCAGAAATGAAGCAAAAAAGGATGAAGTGACTTGCCCTGTCTGCAGAAGAGTGCCAGGCCCTGGGAGCACTAACAGGTCTTACAGTCCCTGCCTGGCCTCATCCCACCCAGCCCAGGGCCCCGTTTCAGCCCCCGGGGTCGCCAGTCCCTGCCCCAGCCATGCCGCAGCACGGGCCAGTCTCCAGCTCCCCACAGCCCTGCCCTGCCTGGCCATGGGCACTGCTGAGCTGGTGCTGCCCCCGGTGCCCCGGTGTCCCCCTGCTCCCTGCCCTGCCGCACCAGGGACCCCCCATTGCTCCTGGGGGCCTGGGCAGCAGCGTGATGCAGGGGAAAGAACTGCGTTTCAAGATGCAGGCTGACACAGTAGCTTAAATATTGAAACATCATTCACTTTTAAACTTGCATAGCTTACATTAGTCGTGACAAGTCTGACACGCTGAAAGCTTCAGGTGGCAGGAGAGGACTCCATCTTTCTGGGGCTCTTTCTTCCACGCGCAGGCTATCTTTCTGCCCAGGCTTCCGAGAAGTCAGCTGTATAAACCCTGCCTGGTACGAGAGCAAGCTGGGCTGCTGCTCCTCATTGGTACAAATGACCCCATCAGGTAACACTTTTCATGGATACACCTCGAGCGTTTCATGAAATCGGTTGGTATAATTTCCCCACTTTACGGTTGAAGTAACTGAGACGGAGAGGTGTGAAGCAACGCGCCAAGGTCGTGCTGGGGGCTGGTGGGAGAAGCAGGTCTCACTCCAGGCATCAAAAGGCTGTGCTTGTGAGTATGGTGTGACAAACGAGACTGGGCTGAAGACAGATTTGCGTGGTGCTGGGTCTCTTGTCGTTACAGCTACGTGATGAATGCATTGCCTGAAAAATGGACCTTAGTCTGCACCAATATAGCTGGAGTTAATGATCTTAGATAAGAATTTACTGTGTATATCAGTCAATGGACAAATTTGCTGAGTAGAAGTTGGAGTTTGAAATTGTTGATTTCATTTTTGCAAACAGGAGTTACATTTCAATTGACTTGCAGGTTTTTAGCATAAACATGCACATTCACATTAAATGATGCATATTTATTTTTGTTGCAAAAGCATTTCCATTAATGTGTACAGAAATAGCTCCTTAAATTGTAGGGAGGAGAGGAGCTAGGATGATTCCAATTTTGGTTTTACTTTCTTAAAATCAGATGTCTATAACACTTCAATCAAGGAAAATCTTTGCCTGGAAACCTTGTGAGATTTTGGAAACATCAGAGTAATTACAACCTTGTGAGCGGAATATTCATCCCTGAAGAGCTCTT